AGTTTTGAGCCCAGTGTTAAACTGCACTAAGACTTGTGGGACACCCTCTCTATCAGAAAGGTATTCTACTATCTGCTTTTTAGAAGAGTGAACAGGAAGCTACCTTGGTGTAGGGAAATGAGCAAGAAAGGTGTCTGTTTTATTAGGGAATTAGTGAAGTCTTTCGTTTAATGGTCTGTTCGAATCCAAGTAATTGTCGTACCTTAGGGAAGATCATTGGAGGTTGAAAGGGAGATGCTCAATGCCTCCTCTTAGGCAGCGCTGGAAAGCAGCGGCGTTGGGCTTGTTCTGCTTAGCTTGAGACTTGGAGGTGTTAGACTAATGGCATACAGAGGCCATCATGCCTGCACAAGGGGAAATGACTTCCCTGACCTCAGTTAATTTGCTGGAGAAGAACTAGATAGCGGCTTTAATGTGATTTGTCTCTGAAAGAAGAATTGGTTCCATTGGTCATCTTTTGGCTGACTTCTCTGTCTCCTTTTCGTCCTTGTGGGAAGGGCTTGTCTGAAAAGAAAGCGGAATGTTAGATTGGTTTGTAGATGCAGCTAATTCTTTTCATCTGTGAATTGGTAATGACTTTATACAGTGAAACTTGAACTCTTTTTTTTTCTCCCGTTTTGAGAAAGTTAATCCACAAACAGCAAGGTCAGTATCCCCCATCATCTCATTATACTTTTATGCCTTGTCATTCGCTCCTACCCTCTTCTCCGACAAGCCCTTGAGTTCATTTAGGAAGTCAGAAGGAAGTTTCCCAGGGCTCTGTTAACAGAATGTTTTTAAGACGCTGTCGCCTTGTTTGAGATGATGGTCTTAGAAGTGCTGTGTAAATGTGTGCGATCATTATTGATGGGATTGTAGATCCAGAGCTGGCAGGGTCTTCAGCGGCTCTCTGCTCCAGCCCATTGTTTCACAGACAAAGAAACTGAGGCACAGGGAAGTGAGATCACATCACACTCGGGCTCACATTTAGAAAGTAGACAGGAAGTAACAGAACCAGCAATTGAGCTCGAGTCTTTTTGAGTCCAGATTGCACTCCTGAGCTCCTTATTCTGTTTTCATCTGTCATCATCATCATAGCACATGGGAGGGCAGAAGAAAACACAAGAAGAGTGTCTTAAACTCACTGTTAGTCCACGTTATTACTCTTTAGAACTTTTCCTAGCATGTCATCTCGTCCAGTTACTTTACAGTAGTTTTTGTCATTTTTTTTTCTAGAGGACAATTATGGTAATTTCTTGTCCCCATTTTACAAGTGAGGTACAGAAAGGCTGCTGTTCCTTAACAAAAATATATTCATTCCAGTAAACACAGTGAAGGTTCTCATTTTACTGCCTTAATAAAGAGCTTGAATTGTTTTTTTGTTACAGTGACACAATGTTGAGTCATTGTCTAAAGCCAATAATCCCTGTTATTTCCTGTTTTAAAATAAGTAGATGTTTAATTCTTGAGCAAGTGTTGATTATTTTTTCCCGCTTTGTGGAGAAAATGATGCATTAACACTTGACTCCGTGGGAACGTGTAGGGGATGAGGTATAAGCAGGAGCCATAGAGTACTTTGAGCTGCAGAAAGCCCTCTTTGTACTTTGCAAACAAGTGTACAACTTGGGGTGCTTTTTGGTGCAATTATCGTTTTAATTTGGCTTGTGTTGTGTTTAGGTGTATTAGCCAAAAACATAACCTCCTGTTGGGAAAAAGTCCGTTAAAAGAAACTCTGCTTTGAAGCTGGCTGCGGCAGCTAGCATTGTCATGTGGCTTTTAATGCTGAAGCCAAGTCTTAGTTGCCATTTTAATTTGACCTCTCAATCGCAGGCCACAGATGAAAGAGGACAGAGAAAATCTTTGTAATTCCACCTTGGCTTTGATCCATCCATATTGTTGTTCCTGGTGGCTCTCAGACAATCATCGTCTTCTTCTGGTGGCTCGGGCTGACCGTGAACCAGGAGCAGTTATTGGGGAAGTGAATAATGGAAACAAAGGCTCCTGAAAGCCATCATTTTCCAGCGTTCTGATCTGCCACCAGGGTTTGAGGAATGAATTTCATAAGTAGATATTGGTTTGTGTTTAGTATAGAGAAGTACTCAAATGGGCTTTAAGGGGATAGTGTACGTTGAGTCCAAAATTGGAAGACAAAGGACAAAATAAAGGTCAGTCCCAAGCTTGGCTACCCATTTCATGTTCACGTTTAAAGCAAACTAACACCTATGGGATTCTTGTCCATGAAATGCAGTTAACTACTGCTTTGCATATGTGTGCTGTAATGATGCCCTCCTGTATGAAGTCCAGTATTCATAGTTGTCTGTAGGAAACAGAAATAACATATGCGCCATCCTGGTGAAAGATAGCAGCTTCCCCTCCCTTTTTTGTCTCATCTTCTTTTAGCTGCCTTCCTGTGTCCTTCATGTTGTAAAGACTCCAGACTCGATTCAGAATTCAGCCTGAGACTGGGCTCGGTGAATTCCCCGAACACGAGTTAGCTGGGTGATAATGAACCACAGTTGTAGATGAGAGAAGAGATACCTTTATTGTCAGTTCTTGTGAGAATTGGGTGTGTACATTCCCTCACAGGACCCCCCCCACACACACACATACAGAAGCAGAGCAAGTGATTTTATAGGATTATTTGGCTTTAACCCCACGTTGTCCCACCTTCCCTTTCATCCATTGGTCAGGGACAGACAGTACATCCCTCCTCCTGGACTGCCGTTTGTATGTTACTCTTTAATGTGTCTCCCCTCCCTCGTCATGCGATGCATGTACAAAAATGGTGGCTGTCTCGTCCCCTGGGGTGTGTAAGTTAATATGCATGAGGCTAATTAAGCATGCGTGTTAGTAAAAAGTCAGTGACCGTCCCGTGACCTTGACCAGCTTGAGCCAGTTTCAGCCTGGGCCCCCTTCAAGAGGAACTTAGAGAATTCTTCCGGCTCCATGATTGGATAGGGTCGTTCTGCCCTCCTTGTGTAAACCAATAAACCAGTCTCCCCTCATCTTGTTTGCTCATTCCTACACATTCTGTGTTCCTATTGAGTCTGTGGGAACCAAATGTTAGCATTTCTCACATTAATAATCTAGGTATCATAAGTCTTTGTCTACACAGGGCGCTTCCTTGACTTACTCATCTTCCTGGGTCTGTCTGCTCCTTTGGGTAGACACTCTACTTCCTGAAATGCCTTTCCATGTAATCGCTTACTAAATAAAAGCCCAGTTATGCAAAAACCAGGTAAAATCTTTTGTCCCTGAGTTCTTCTTGCCCAGATGCCTGTTTCACAAAGGCTAGAAGAAAGCTCCTGCTGTCTTGATTTCATTGGCGTGGGGCCTCCTGCCGTTGATGCAGATTGGCCAGTCCCTTGTGGCCCAGAATGGCGTAGAGAGATGCTTGAGAAGTTGCGAGCCTCAGCTGCCTCTCGGGTAGATCAGCTTGGACCCACGTCTTGCAGTTGTCAGGGCTGGTGCTGCGTTTTGTCCTGCACCAAGGTGGCGAAGGGAATAAAGTTCCTGCCGGAGGAGGGTCATCGTACCGGCGGATGCACGGTGGCTGCCCTCAGGTCTCTGAAGGACATGTCCTGTGGAAGGGGGAGGAGTCTCCTTCTGCTTGGCCCCGGGGGCCCGACTGGGCAGGACGGGGGAAGGTGCAGTGGAGTAAATCGAGGCTTGTCTGAGGGGCGCTTCCTGACTGGAAGGGGGTTCATTGGTGCAAAGTGGGCTCCCCCCTCACAGGAGACCATCAGGCAGAGCTCGGTGACCTCTTCTGGGCAGCCCGGTGAAGCACTGGACTGAGTCAGGAAGACATGAGTTCAGATCTAGCCTTAGACATTTACTAGCCTTGGTGACGCCGGGCAAGTCGTTTAGCCTCTTTTATTGTCTGTCAGATGGGGCTAAGCATCTGACACCTACTTCATACTACATATGGGGACAGCGCCTGCTTCACAGGGTTGTTGTTAGGATCAGAGAATATAATGCACACCAAGCTCTGTGAACTTTAACGCGCTTTACAAGTGCTGGTGGCCGTTCCTGTTACCATTATGTTGTTGTTGTAAAGGGCTGGGCTGGGCGGCTTCTGAGGCCGCCCCTTCCAGCTCCGATTTTGTCCTGAATAAAGTGTTTTTCTTCTCTGATTCCATAAGAGAGTCTCCGGGTCTGGGCACAGGTTGGCTGAGTCCACTCTTTGCTACTTAACACACTTCCTGAGCTGGGAGGGAGTCATTTGAGACGCTGTCCGGAACTGGGAAGATGCTTAAGAGGCAGGAGAGGAGCAGGGTAACAACGACCACAGTCATGGCTCCCACTTGTAAAGCACCTTCTGCGTGCCAGGCACCGGGCTAAGCACTTTTACAAATACCATCTCATCGGATCCTCACAACAACCCTGTCGGGTAGGTGCTGTTATTATCCCCATTTTACAGATGAGGAAACTGAGTGAGGCAGAGGTGAAGTGCTCTGCCAAGGGTCGCACGGCCAGTACGTGTCTGCGGTGGGTTTGAGCTCCGGGGCCAGCTCTCTACCCCCTGCACGATGTAACTACAGAGAGGACAGTGTTGTCGCCTGCCGGGTTCCGGGGGCTCGTGGAGACCGGCCTTTCGCTGCTGCTTCAGCTCCTGTGATGGTGTGTGCTAACGGGGAGCGCTGGGAATTTCTAAAGCAGTGGTAGAGTCTCAGCTTTAGAAATGGAGGATAAGGTAAGTATTGTTTTTATAATAATAATTTTTGTAAAATGTGATTTTTCACCTTAGGTGATAACAACTCTTTATTAGAACTTCCTTTAAAGAGCACAGCACACTTTTAATTGGCAGAGCACAGTATAACCGTGGGAGAATGTAGGCAGACTAATCGTTAAAACAGGCCCGTTGACTGTGCGCGATGACGAGGCTCAGGTTTCAGGGTGTTGGGTCCCAGGCCGGCTGGCAGTGCGCAGACGCCCGCCCGCTGTCGACGGCATAACTGGTATCGGCAGAGCGTCGGCTCGACGGCGCTTTGAATTACGACGTTTCTCCACCGTGCTTTTCTTCTCCCCTTGTCCCGCGTCGTACTGATCTTAAAGGAGAAGGGGAGATGGAGTCTTGTCAGCTGCTCCCTGGGAAACAACCGTTCCCGGCCCCTCGCCGGCCGAGCCGTCCAGGAGCATAGAGCGGTCCCGGCTTGTGGGAAGCACACGCACTCCTCCTCAACCTGGGACTCACGTGACTTTGCAAGCTGATCTGTTTTATCGGTCATTTCTCAGCTCTTAAAAATATTTACTGATCTCCTGGTTTTTTCCTCCCCTTCATTTGCGGATGCAGCTTTTCCCCTCCCTCTACCTGGAGTCCTGTTCCTGTAATAAAGGGGTCGGGGGTTTGTCTGCTTGTTTTTTAAAAGGGGAAGACGATCCACGCCTCAGCAGAGTCGGTAACCCCTGCAAGGATGGGGCTGGGGGCATCCGAGGACAGGCCCCTTGCCCCGGCTTGGGCACTGTCCTGCAGCACTTAGCCTGTGGTTTTCTTTTCTTGCTCTTTCTGTTGACCCTGTTGTCACCATTGCTGATTTCGGTTTCCGCGGTTCTGCTTACGTGACTCTGTGTCCCTCGAGCTTGGGACGCTTGACTTAGAGCCCTGCCTCAGACGGGCGTAGCCGTGCGACCCTGGGAGCATGATTTACCCCCTCTGTGCCTCAGTGTCCTCGTCTGTAAAACGAGGGCCCTCCCACCTGCAGATCCGTTCATTGTTTCTTCTGTTACAGTCGTGAACCATGGCCTTTTTTGCCGCAGCCCTGTGTTGTGTTCCCTGTTTTTGTTGCTTCAGTGCACAGGTGCGAGGTGAAGCCATCCCCAGGCGGCTCCCCCCACTTTCGTCTTGTTCCTTATTGGGAGCAGCCTCTCACCTAGGCGGTCACCAGTAGTCTGCAAGCCGCCATTTGAGAGCCTTTGGCCTCGTTCCTGTCCTTGGACACTTATCCTGTGGGGAATGGCTTTGTCGCATCTTTACTTCTAAGGTCTGGGAGACCATCAGGTGAGTTACCTCTGGTTTTTGTGGTTGAGGAAGCTAAGGCCATTAGAGCTGGTTACAAGTGCACCCAGGCTGGATTAGAATTTAGTTCCTAATGAGGAGGGTGGGATTGACTTCCTTTCTTCCTTTATGTGTACACACAGACACACTTTACTGATACCTTTTTTCTTTGCGTCGTAGTCCTGAAGGGAAAAATTCTGCCTAGGAAAACAGGCAGATATATCCAGGACAGTGACCTAGTCTGACAGGCTGTGCCACGTTATGTCCTGCTGTTGCCCTGCGTTCTCTCTGTTCATTGCAGAGTAGATCTACATCTGGGAGAGGCCTCTGAGGCCGGCCAGCCCAGCCGCCTCACTCTACAGAGGAGGGACCCGAGGCCCCGGGGTAAGCAGCTAGTATGGTGTTCCACAGCTAGTGACTGAGGCAGGACACACTCTCTGGCCTTCCTGACTCCAAGTCTAGCTCTCTCTGTGCTGTTCCACCAAGCTGTCTCTGTTTTTTAGGACTTTGTTGGTTTTTTAGTTACTCAGAGTATGGTTTTCTTTTACTGATTTTTTTTTCACTTACATTATTGTGGTCACTGTGTATATTGTTTTTTGTTTCTGTTTATTTCTTGGTGCGAGTTTTTATACATTGTCCCTTGCTCCTCTGAATTCCTCATCTTCCCTATTTCTTACTGTGCAATAATATTCTAGCCATTCCCCAGTTTATTGGGCGTACATTTTGTTTACAGTTCTTTGCTACCACAAAGAATGATACCTTGAACACTTTGTTATTTTTTGGACCTTTGTTTTTTCCCTCTTTCTTTCTTGGGTATAGGTCCCATTTTGGGATCAGTGAGTCTTAGGGGATGAAAAACTCAGTCAGTATCCTTGCCTAATTCTTGGACCAATTCTTGGGACCAATCATCACCAATGATGAATTACTGTGGCTATTTTCCCACAGCCCCTCCAACACCCTCCCTTTTAGGGGGTCATCTTCTTGGTTATTTTTGAAGGGGTGATCTTATAGGTTCCTGGGTTACTGAGAGATTGAATGACACGCTTTTGGTCTGGCAGCTAATATGGGTCCAAGGAAAGACTTCAACTCAGGTCTTCCTGATTCTAAGATTGGCCCTCTGTCTGCTACACACCTTGTCTCTGACTACAAGTTGCAGAAGAATTAATTGCTGAATTGTGTTAGTGGAAGGAGTTTACACAGTAGGAGTTTCCCTGCACTGACCAAATCATAATCCTGGATCATTAAAAAAAAAATCTTAAGAGTGTTGGTAAAATTTCCAATTATATAAAAATTATGCATGGCAGATTCTTACATAAGCCAAAAGAAGAGAGGAAGTCTTCAGGAAAACCATTTTAATTTAATGGTAGTGAGAAGCTAGACATGCTCTGGAATTTCATTACTGGCTGTTGAATATCTTTGAAGGTTAGGGCCCGACTGGTGGCAATCTATTTTCCCATCCCTGATGATACCTTAAAACCTACAAAGGGATGTTGGGGAGAGCACAGTCGCTCAGAGGCATCTTTTCCATTCGTTGTTGTAATAACCTGCAGTGGGTGGCCTGCCCTGGGATCAGCGTGTTGTCCCTCCTCCAGTTATCTCGGCACTCAGTTTGGCCATTAGGTGATGCTTTATTCCACTCATGCTTTACACATGCCCAGGGCTCATTTTGGTAGTGGAAGCTTTTTAATTGACACTATCTTAATGGTTTAGAAAGGAGAGGAAAAAATGTAGTCCAGTTAGAGTCAGGAAAACTAAATTCCAAATGAAACTGTTATCATCAGTTTCATCACATCTCCATTTTGTTCCATGAGAAAAAGCGAACAGCTCCCACCAAGTATTGGCCGCTATTTACCGATTTCCTCTCTAGCTTTTTTATTTTTTAAATAATAATTACCTGCAAAGCTTTCCCGACTTGTGCACATAGCCATGTGCAAACATGTATTTTCATGTGTACGTGTACCCGTAACATTTCAGGAGGGAAGCCAGAAATCAGAACAGGACCACCTCCATCGGGCCACATGCTCAGTAGTCTTCACCACATTGCTTCTGAAGGCTTTCTTCTGTAAAGTGGGTTTAAGGCTGAAATGACTTTCCTCCTCTTTTCCTTGACACGAAGGGAGGAGCAGAACATGGGAGGTGCATCTGTGACTGTGCACAGTGAAGACAGGAAGCAAACTTAAAACAGAAGGAAGATGGTCCGACCTCTACGCACACATGGTTTTTCTTTTTTAAATCCAGTCGCTCAAGAGACAAGACTTTGACCCACGAAACTGAGTCAAGTAAAGTTAAGGTATTGGTCCTGCCGTAGCTGGAAGAGGGGCTCTCCCTTGTCCCATCGGGCTGCCCGGGCACCTCGACGTTTTGTTAGGTCAGACAAACCAGTGTGTTCCGTCGTCCCAAATTTAACCTCTCCAAAACTGAACTAGTCATCTTCCTTCTATCACACTGCCTCCTGGTTTTCCAATTTCCCTCTTTCATTCTCCTCGGCACCCAAATTATAATTCTTGAAGTTATCTTGGGCTCCTCCCTCTCCCCTCTTATCCAGCTAATCACCAATTTTTAGTCTGTTCTATATTCAGAGCAGCTCTCCCATCTCATGCTTGTACTATTTCAGTAACTCCTAACCAGGATCTCTGCCTAGAATAACTCCCCCTTCTAATCCAGTCTGAAAATGTTCACGAGGATAATCCTGAATGACCCCTGCCATCATGTCAGGTTCCTGTTCAGAGCTGTTCCTGACTCCCCACTACCAGCCAATGCCCAGACTCCAGCGTGGTAATATTAATATTAATAATAACATTATTAATAAACATAACAATAGCTAGCATTTACATAGTACTTACTTTGTGTCAGGTCCTGTGCTAAATGCTTCCTGGGAGGGAGCTGCTGTTATTATCCCCGTCTTATAGAAGAGGCAAACAGAGGTGAAGTGGCTTACCCAAGGTCACGCAGTGAGGACATTCCTGAGGCCAGTGCTCTATCTACTGGGCCACCCAGCTGCCCATCTCTTCTGAATCTTCTGTGTTCCTGCCAGGCTGGCGTATTCACAGACTTACAATTGCCTTGTCTCAGCCTGCCTTTGTATCTTTACGCATCTCCTCTGGAGTGAACTCCCAGGGTCTCCAGGTACCTAAGTTTTCCTCTCCACAAAGCCTTCCCACCTCACAGATCACTTAGACGTGTGGTAGGATAGTTTTGTGTGTCTGTGGGTGAGTGTGAGTGTGGTTGGGGGGTGCCTCCCAGGCAGGGGACGAGGGAGAAGGGAAAAAGCATTTATAGAGCGCCTGCTATGTGCCAGGCACTCTAGGTGCTTTACTAATATTATCTCATTTGATTTTCACGACCTCTAGAAATTGATGCTCTTATGATACTGATTTTGCCCATGAGAAAACTGAGGCAAACGGGTCAAATGACGTGCCCAGGGCCACCCAGCTAGTAAGTGTCCAGAGCTGGACTTGAACTCAGTTGTCCCCGAGTCCAGGCCCAGAGCTCTGGGCTTTCGGTAAGGACATAGAGCAGTCTGGAGCACAAGTTGGTCTGGAAATGCGATAAGCATGGCAGGAGCCCTTCATGAAATAATGATCCCAGCCAGGGATTTACCGTCCAGGAGAGCAGGCCTCTGGGCTGTAGGGTGTAAAAAAACTATTACCTTATCACGTTGTTGACTTAATGAGTTTGCATTCCACTTAGACCCCCAGGTCTTTTTCAGATAGAATGGTATTTCATCTTGCTTCCTTCATCTTGTACTTGTGAAGTGGGCTTTTTTTGAACCTAAGTGTGTAAAACAACAGAAATCACATCGATATCTACTGTGATAATTTTATCCAGAATTTTGACCAGTGTAAATTAACTGCCACAGCAAGGAGACCCTGAGAGCCCACAACATCTGCCTCCTAGCCAGAAGGAGAGTGGTGGCCAGAAGTCAGTCACTGGCCTTAGTTTGTGGACCACTTAGGGCCATATCCGTCCCTCTCTGCGCCTGTTAGGTGAGTCCCGTCACAGTCTTTCAGAACACGCCCTGCCAGTGTGAGCTGTTAGATTCTGGGTTTGTCACTGGTGGCTGTTAGCAGTCTCACATTGCTTCCTTCAGCAGTAGCTTCAAGCTCAGTTCCCCAGTGGGCTGTTTTCTCCTGTCTTCCCAGCTGTATCCCTAGCACCCAATAGAGAGGAGGCCCAGGTTGGTTGTTGAGGCTGTTTTGGAACAATGACCAGCATTTGATTTTTAACCAAAACTAATGGCAATAATGTCTCTTACGCCCTGCATACATACAGGCGATCTTGGCTGTGGAATGTTACACGTACTGCCAGACTCCACTGAGGGGTTGGGTACTGTTGCCAAATTGGCTTTTTTTCCCCCCTCTTGGTTTCAAAGATGGCTTTCTGGGTAAGGAAGGGGGGAGGATATATTCCAAAATAAAGGTGATATAAAAACAAAAGAGACTGAAATTTAAAATAAAAATAAAAAAATAAGACACTAGCAAGTTAAGGAGGAACAGCCATTTGCAGATTTGGGAATGAATTTATTTTACGATTCTATCAGCAACTCAGAAACTGGGGTGGGGCAGGGAGGAGAGGAAGGTGATTGAGAAGACATCAGTTGCTATCTTCTCTTTTTAAAAAGATTATTAGTTTTTATTGATTTATTTTTAGTTTTCAGCAATCACTTCCATAAGCTTTTGAGTTTTTAATTTTTCTCCCTCTCCCTTCCCACCTCCCTCCCCAAGACGGCACGCAATCTGATATAGGCTATCTATCCATATACATTCCTGTTAAACATATTTTCACATTAGTCATGTTGTAAGGAAGAATTAGAACCAATAGGAGGAACCACAGGAAAGAAGAAACAAAACAAAACAGAAGAAAAAAAAAGAGCAAATAGCATGCTTCGATCTGCATTCAAACTCCATAGTTCTTTCTTTGGATGTGAATAGCATTTTCCATCATGAGACTTTTGGAGATGTTTTAGAACCTTGCATTGCTGAGAAGGGTTAAGTCTGTTAGCGTTAGTCATCACACAGTGTGGCTGTTACTGTGTACAACATTTTCCTGGTTCTGCTCACTTCACTCAGCATCAGTCTATACAAGTCTTTCCTGGTTTTTCTGAAGGCCACCTGCTCATCATTTCTTATAGCACAATAGTATTCCATCACGTTCATATACCACAAGTTGTTCAGCCATTCCCCAATTGATGGGCATCCCATCAATTTCCAATTCTTTGCCACCAGAAAAAGAGCTGCTATAAATATTTTTGTACATGTGGGTCCTTTTCCCATTTTTATGATCTCTTGGGGGTACAGACCTAAAAGTGGTATTGCTGGGCCAAAGGGTATGCACCTTTTTATAGCCCTTTGGGCATAGTTCCAAATTGCTCTCCAAAATGGTTGGATCATTTCACGACTCCACCAACAATGCATTGGCATTCCAATTTTCCCACATCTTCTCCGACATTTATCATTTTCCTGTTTTGTTATGTTGGCCAGTCTGATAGGAGTGATGTGGTACCTCAGACTTGTTTTGATTTGCATTTCTCTAATCAATAGTGATTTAGAGCATTTAAAAAAAATTATTAATGTCTTTTGTTTTTGCATCACTTTCACATATATATATATATATATATATATATATATATGTATACTATATCCCTGTTGTTATACCTAGGAGTCCTTCCTTATAACAAATGATTAAAAAGAGAGAGAGAGAAAACAAGGAGTTCCTAAAAAAAAACAACCCAGGTTATAGAATGCATATTCCCCCACTTTTGCTAACAAGGAAGGAGGAAATATATTTTCTCCATGTTTTTCCAGGACTATACTTTTTGGTCATAATTACCCTGCATTCCATTTTGGTTTTTGTCTTTTCCATTTTCATTTGTATAGTCATTAATCTTCTTTGTTCTGCTTATTTCTTTCTATTACTTTCTAGTAGTTATAGTACTGTGGTGGGTATGGTGTGGTAGTAGCAGTACTACTAGTAGTAGCAATACTGGTAGTAGTAGTAATAACAGTAAGCAGTAGTAGTAGTAGCATAGTAATACTAGTAGTATTAGTATTGCAGTAACTAATAGTAATAATGATATTAGTAGAGAATATTTCCCAGAATTCTTCATTTTCACCGTTTCTCATGGCACAGTAATTATCACACTCCTGTGCCACCACTCGGTTAGGCATGGTCTTAAGTCTAACACATCTCATTTTATTTCCAATTCTTTGCTATCATCTTTGCTTCCTTTCTCCTAACTATTTGAGGGACCCGTGGTTTAATTGCTCTGTTTCCTTCATGGACACTTTGGTGACCCCTCTTTTATTTAGTAGAATGTTTCTGAGACTTGTGGCTTTTAAAATCATGAATTCCATCAGTAAACACAAACATTTCAGTATTCAGAGAACACAGAAAGCCGACTGTGCATGACCTGATGAACGGCTGATTATGTATGCTTTTTACAAAAGTGAATATTAGGTTGCCTGAGTAGTGACGAAACTGCCCCGTTGGCTTGTGTTACCTTCTTGACTTTTTGGCTGCTCTCCTGGCCTCAGCCTGCCTTTTCCTTTCCTGCACTCAATAGCTGACCAAACCAGCCTGGCCTTGGTGTTGCTCATGAATGACGCTCCATTTCTCATCTGCTGCCCTTTGAACTGGCTGTCCCCCATGCCTAGAATTCACTCCTGAATCATTTCTGCCCTTCATCATCTTGTTTCTTCAGAAGTTTGCTCAGGTAACACTTCCTTCCTGAAATTTTTCTTGATTCTCCCCCAGTGTTAATCTTTTATTTATTTTTCACTTATTTTGTATATACTTACTTATTTGTATGTTTTCTCCTTGACAGAATGTAAGCTCCTTGCAGGCAAGGACATTTTCCTGGTTTTTTGTTTGTTTGTTTGTTTGTTTGTTTGACCTGGCATGTACTTGGTGCTTAAGAAATGCCTGTTGACTGTTTTAAATTGTATTTTTAATTGTATTGATTTTATTAATATCTTTTGTTTTTACATTGCCTAGATATCTCCCTTTATCCAATTTTCCCTTTCACAGACACTACCCTTTCCAACAAAGAATATTTTTTTTAAAAAGGAAGAAAGAAAGGAAGAAGGGGTAAAGCCCACCAGGCACGTTGAAGAAAACCTCATGTCATGCAGGTGTGTGGGCTTCTCCCCCACCCCCCTGCCCGCACTCCCCACCCCACCTCTGCCAAGGAGAGGGAGGAGATAATCTTCTCAGATCTCTTCTTTGGGGTTAGGCTTCTTCTTTATTTAAAAAAAATTCTTTTAAAATTTTGAACATAAACACCTCCACCCCAAAAATGTTTCTATACACACAACAGAATACAAAAAAGATGATTGTACATGAAACTGTAAATCCCCATTTCATGTCATTTGCTTTAAAAAAATTATATAGTACATTCCACTTATTACTTTCAAAACTGTCATGCTTATATGTGCTCCTTTCTGAAAGTCTTCTGTGCATTCAAAAGAAAAAAAAAAGATTTCCCCCAGCTTCAGTGTTATTAAGCCTTTACCTCTATAACCCCCCTGAAATTGATAAGATTGAAAGAAAGAAACAACAACCTTTGTTTTAAAAAAAAAATGTGAGAAAAGGAAAGGAGGTTAATGTGATGTGACCTGTTATTGAGGAAAGCCTGCTGCCTGTCTATGATCACCTTTCCTGATGGTCACCAACCTTTCAGTGTTCTAGAATTTTGCTGAGATTCAGAGTTCAGCTCCCTGGCCTGTAGCTTCCAGACTCTGTTTTTGTGAAAATTAGGATTTTTTATTTTTTCTGAAAATGAGGAAAACATTTGTCCTTCAGTCCCATAGCATCTCTCCTCAACTCCATCACCTTCTATATCGTATCTGCCAGTTCTTTTGGTCCCCAGGGTTTTCAGGCCTATTGATTGGAACTGATCAAGGGTGACCAGGTGTTCTCTTACCTTGGGATTCAACTCCCCATTAGCCACTTTGGTTTCTCTGGTCCTAGGGTCGTCCTGCTTGGCATATCCATTTTCTCTCCATCATCTGCTGTTATGCTGTTGAGCCTACCTCAGGCAGGGCTCCTCTCACTTCTTTATAGATCTATTTCCCCCAGTTATAGCTTTTTGTTGTTCGTATTCCTTGTTATGTACAGCCAACTTTCCTGACATTATTCTTGTAGGGCCAGCTGGGGATTTCACTTTCTTTTTTTTTCTTTTCTTTTCTTTTTTTCTTTGGTGAGGCACGCAGGGTTAAGTGACTTGCCTAAGGTTACACAGCTAGTAAGTGTCAAGTGTCTAAGGCTGGATTTGAAGTCAGGTCCTCCTGGTTTCAAGGCCAGAGCTCTATCCACTGCGCCACCTAGCTGCCCTATAGGATTTCACTTTCTTACAGAGAAAACCGAGGCCACTTGATAGGTGGCACAGTGGATAGAGTACTGGGCTTGGAATCAGGAAGACTCATCTTCATGAGTTCAAAACTGGCCTCAGACACTTAATAGCTGTGTGACCCTGGGCAAGTCCCTTAACCCCGTTTCCCTCAGTTTCCTCATCTGTAAAGTGAGCTGGAGAAGGAAATGGGAAACCGGTCCAGTTTCTTTGCCAAGAATACCCCAGATGGGGTCACAAGGAGTTGGACATGACTGAAAAATGACCAAACAGCAATGATCTGAGTGCTCTCTTCTCGGCATCATCCCCCATCATCTTCTCCTTTTCCTAGTCTCCAGGGAGACTAGTGCCTCCGACGTACCGAGGTAGATGTCTTGTGGATGTTTGTCACCACTGTCACCGCTGAGGCCTGCTGGAATGCTGGGGCTCTCATGCTCCTGAAAGGCCTCGCTCCCACAGTATCACACATGCATTTTTGTGCTGAGCATAAGGACTTCTTGCTGAGTGGGATACATTAATTTTTAATGACTCTGTATTTAGGAGTGATGGCAGTTGAAAAGCCTCTTGGAATTTCAAATACAAACTAACTGTTTGGTGGTTTTGTTTTTTTCTGGAGGGGGAGTATAGGGAGATGTAATCTTTTTATAGCAAAATTTTCCCTTTTTTTAGTTACAAAACACAATAGAACTTGGCTGCTGCCACAAGAGGTGAGCGTGTGGTCGTAGCTGACTCAGCCGGGAAGTCAAAACAAGCAATAGAATTGTCAATGCGCTGGAGCCCTGTGTGGAGAAGCCGACGGTAGGTCCTTCACCTTGAGCTGTGGAGGGCTCAGTGTGTCACTCCCAAGATCTGATCTCCTGTGGACTTTGTATCTGCCACGCTCAGGCCTTGCTCATTCAAGCGCACAGATGCTTGACTGCCCAAGAAAAGGCCGTTGTGGCGTCAAGTACGTCTTTTATGGAAGTGTTTCCCCTTCCTTCCTCAGTTCGTTTGTTTAATGAGAAGTCACTCCACAGAGCACACACCCCTCAGAACTGACATTATTCTAGGATAACACATTAATAATAACAATAGCTGTTATTTACACAGTGCTTTAAGGTTTGTGGAGTGCTTCACGATTCCTCACAACCCTGTGATGTAGGTGCTGTTATCCCCATTTTATAGATGAGGAAACTGAGGCAGGCAGGGTTGAAGTGACTTGCTTAGAGTCACACAGCTAGCAAGTGTCCAAGGCTGGATTTGAACTTGGGTCCCCCTGACTCCAGGCTTTAAATCCCCATTTCATGTCATTTGCTTTAAAAACAAATTATATAGTACATTTCACTAAGTCTTTAGAGCGTTTTGACCTTTCTAAATCAGACAGTCCCCCCTTTGGTAGTCTAGTGCAGTGCTTCTTAAACTATGGGTCGGACCCCCATTGGGGTCATGAAAAATTTGGCAACAGTAAAAGGTTTCTGAATGCACAATGACCACAAATTAATTCAAAATCAAATGCATAATGAATCCAAGGAGTTTCTGACAACAGGCTTGCCACTTCACTGCAGCCTTGTTTCTGAACACAAAGCATGTGCATTTTGCACTGTGCATGCCCTCAGGCTACATAATACCAATGAAAAGTATGGAAATGTGAAAAGGGGTCTCCAGTGGGAAAAGTGTAAGAAACCTTGGTCTAGTGGAGCCTTTCGGCTCATTTTTTTGTTTGTTTGTTTGTCTTGGGTTTTTGTTTTTGTTTTTTTGTAGGCAGTGGGGTTAAGTGACTTGCCCAGGGTCACACAGCTAGTAAGTGTCAAGTGTCTGAGGCTGGATTTGAACTCAGGTCCTCCTGACTCCAGGGCTGGTGCTCTATGCACTGTGCCACCTAGCTGCCCCTGTGGACTCCTTCTTAGACGAATGCTTCCAGATGCATAAAATAAAACACACAGGATTACAATGAAAACCAATTATGTTGAAATACAGTTATTAAGAAGACAAGCTCCTGGACCTTAGGTTATGACCCCCTGGTCTAGATGGAGGGAGTATCCACAGCCTGAAGTTTGTTGATGTTGAAGTATCAGAGTAATAAGATAGGCTTGCCAATTAGTGGCAGACCCAAGGCCAGGACCTGCTCCCCTGGCTCCTGGTCCCTTGTTTTTGCTGCCTGTTGCCTGGTGATTATAAGTACCTTGGGGAGCTCATGTATCTCATGTGACACTTGCAGACTGTTGTCTGGGACCACTTTTCCTAGAATCACATCTTTCGCCCAATGTATTTTTCAAGATGTAGTTACCTTCCAGCGAAAATCTCCTTTATCCTGGCCCATCATCTCTATTGAGAATGCACCTACCCAACATTCTGCCATCCTGTGTCTGTTGAGTGGTGACTCCAGCAGGGCTAGCCTCTGCGTAGCGTTCCTGCCTTCCTGACTCCCCAAGCTGTTTTCTTGATTTATCCCCAGATACCTACAGTCATGAATAAGGGCTGCCATGTTAGCTGTCCCAAGAGCCTTGAATGAAAGTTGCTATCTAAGTGCATGTTTGTTGTTTTTAAAATGCTGTTGTCTTGGGGTAGAAAAGTGTTTTTTTTTTTTTTGGATTACATAATTAAAAGAGCTCTTAGTTACCAAACCCTGAAATCTATTCAGGGACCAATTTATTTGTACGTCTCTGGGTAGTTCTTCTATGCTTGTCTCTTATGGGAGTTGTTTCTGCTTTAGCTGCTTAAAGTGGTGATAGTTTTTCTTCCTTATGCTTGACTACCAACTAAAAATCATGCCTTGGGACTAGGGGAAAGAATAGAAAGGATTAAGTACCTTAATTTGAAATTCATGAGTATGCTAAGAACTGCTACTCTTCTGGTATCCTCCTGGGAAGCAAAAGAGATTGGGGAATTACATGGAACCAAATGTGCCTTTGCCTTTGACCATCCTCTCCCCCCAACTATCCAATAGGAGGCCAGTTTTTCCAGGAGCGGATCAAGATGACAAACCAACAAAATGAGTCTGTGTTGGAAGTCTGGAACCAAAATGTTTGTTGTCATTCAGGCCAAAGGCCATCACTATTCTTCTGGTGGCAGCTAACTCTTAAGTTCAAGCAAAATAATTGAGAAAGAAGAAAGTCTCTTGAATATAGTAAACATGATGTCGTAGTCATATAAAACATGTGGTCAAAACAAATCCTATTTTAAGCAACCACCAAAACACCAACCCTTGTGAACTGTGAACCCCACCCATGGGGTAGTTTGGATTTGGTTATTTTGGATATGAGTGATGTGGGCTTTGTTGTATAGTATTTTAAAACATAGTAGTAAAACACAATCATTTAGCATTTTAAAAGCATATTAAAGATGTATTAGGTAGCACAATTTGGGAAGAAGAAATGAGAGAGGCTAAAATCCTATAGATTGCACTTTACACCTTTATGTAATAAGTACTTTATTTGAGAAAATGCTGGAGGCACTGGATATAGAGGGTGCCCAGTAATAACTTTACCAAAAAAAAAAAATGAAAGTGATTATAATTTGACATAAAAAAAGACATTATTGATGTGTAAGTTAACCCCGAATCAGCTGTCTGTGTATGGTCAGGCCATTGCCTTGTTAGATCAAATGTCATATAGCATGCAATGAAAACTACACAATCCTATATTAAACGAGGACTTGATAAGGAAAGGTGGATAAATGCCCATAACAAAGACACCAAAAGAACCTAAAAACACCTTAGTCAAGCATACACTTGGCCTGTTTGCAAGAAGATAAGCTCATTAGGAAAATTTTGCCAAGATAGATGATTATGAAAAGCATCATTTCATAAAGGGGTGAGAAATAGCAAAGGATAAAACCAATTTAAAGAAAACTTGTCAAGAATTCACTGAACAAAATCATTCTGAAGGCATTTGAATAAAATTAGAAGGAAGACAACTAACAGGAGAAAAATGGAAAAGATTGTTAAAAATTTTTTTGAAGTGTTATTATTGATGTCTTTTTTTTTTAATCACTGTATCCTTCTCCCTAGCATTTTCCCTACTATCCTCCTCCCCCACCAGAGAGCCATCCCACATAGCAGGTAGTTAAAAAAAATAAAACAAAACAAAACAGCAACAAAACTCAACCATAATCACTCGATGCATTGAAAAAGTCTGAAAATACGTGCAGCCTTTGTGGACTTCCCACATCTGCCAAAAGGCAGAATGGCCATGACTTCTTATGGCCCTTTCTTTGAGCCATGCTTGTCCTTTATAGTTTTGAAATGTTCATTTTTTAGTTTTTTTAGATTCTTTCCATTTACATTGTTGTAGTATCTGCATATTTCTTGGCTTTTCTTACTTCACCCTGAATTTGTTCATGTAGATTTCCCCATGCTTCTCTGTATTCATCACCTTTGTCATTTTTTACAGCATAGTTAATATTCAGTTACATTTATGTATCGTAATTTGTTTAGTCATTCCCCAGTCGATGGGCATGTAGTTGGTTTCTGAGTTTTTGCTATTGCAAAAAGTGCTTCTGTATAAGTATTTTGGTGTGTGTGGGGACTTTCTTCCTATCAATGGCTTCCTTGGGGTGTAAGCCTAGTAATGGAGTCTCTGGGTCAAAGTGTATGGACTTACTAGTCACTTTCCAAATTTATTTCCAAAATGGTCATACTCATTCTTAGCTCCACCAAAAATGAACATTTTAACGTGCCCATCTTCCCACAACCCTTCCAACAGAGATTATTCCCATGTTTTATTATCTTTGCAAATGCGGGATATGAGATGAAACCTCAGGGTTGTTTTGATTTGTGTTGTTCTTAGTATAAATCATTTGGAACTTTCTTCCAAATGGTTGCTGATAGTTTGCAATTCTAAGAACTGTTCATATCCTTTGCCTATCTGTTTTTTAAGGGTTTTTGGACATCTGCATATGTGTATGTATATGTTATATATGTATATATATTGTATCTGTGTAAGGGTAAATATATTATATATATGTACACACACACACACATATATATATACACACACACACAACACATATCTGCTAGTTATTTCTGTATCTTGCATACCAAACCCTTATCAGAGAAATTTGTTACAAAGATTATTTTTTCTCCTATCTGGCCCTAATCTTTTCTTCTGTCTTTGCCTTACTTCTAAACCTATTCTTCATCCTCACTGTGACACTCTCCTTTCTGTTCTTTCCTGTAATTCCAGGCTCCGGCCTAATTTTTCTCCCTTTTTAGCTAGGATCCTGTAGTTGAGAGTAAGCTATATAAATATGAACTTTTGCTATAATTAACCTGTTTGACTGTATTTCAACCTTGAGTCCTTGCCCCCTTTTCCTAGTCAGTCAATAATTATTTACTAAGTGCTTTACCTTGAGGGTAACTGATGGCTCACAGACCCGTTGGTGAGTTAGAGGGTTGTCTATCTCAGCAAGGTCAAGACTTCCCCTGGTGGGATGGGCCGATGAGAACAGTTTGTTCCCATGGCCATGAAGACAGCTGAAGCAGGCACCATGGAGCGCTTAGAGCTTGGTCAGACATTGAAGATGCCACGGTTATCCACGCTATCAAAAGTCATCTTGACTTTTGTCCTGCCACTAGATCTCGCTGACTCTGGAAGAGAGAGTGAGGCTGATGACTTTGTGCAACTCTGCCTCACTTAAATCCAGTTCACATGAGTCAAGACATCATCTGTGATGTCATTGGTCCTCTTCGAGAATGAACGACAAAAACATCAAGACAACAGCAAGTGTCTACTGTGCTCCAGGAACTGTGCTAAGCCCTGGGGATACAAAAAGAGGCAAAAGATAGTCCCTGCCCTCAAGAAGCTCACAAGCTAATGGAG